GCCCAGGCATAATTTTTTGGGCAAGATATTTAACCTCTCTGTGTCTCAGGCTCCTTATCTGTAGATTGGGTATTATAGGATTATTTTTCTTACGAAGTTGAGGGGGCTAAATATTAAAGTCCCAAGACTGGTGCTTAGTACATACTATGTGTTTAATAAGCCTTAATTATTTATCAGAATTCACAGGGCAGAGTCAAGATTTAATGTCCATGAGGCCAGTTAGCTTCTGTCTTCTGTGCTCCAGATTATACTCTGGGCAACCATGTTATTCTTACAAAAGCATGCCACTGGCCATAAGGTTAACATGGGAAAATAAGTAAAACCCTAAGTCCTATAGGTAATGAGTAAACAATTTAGTCACCAAATAGAAAGAACACATAAGGCTTCTCTAAAGAGACCTATCCAAAATGAACCATGCCAATGGAAACATTTTGTGTGAATGTGAAGAAAAGATAACTGAAATGACCAGATTTCCCCACACATTGGCTCTGTTCCAATGCACTCTACCAAAGGAAGATGAGCTTACCTTATCAGCAATATCCACCCTGGCCTTGTGATTAAGCAAGAAATCCACTGCAGATAAATGATTGGCCCCCACTGCAAAATGCAGGGCTGTGCGGTTCATCTGAGGAAACATAATTTGTGTTTTCAGTCATCTGATTGTTATTTAGCCTTTTAAAGATTCCTGTTTCTTGATTTTCTATCAGTTGTTTGTATTTTTATTATTTATCTACTCTTTGCTTTTGCTTTTGAAAGTAGTGAGAATTGTGCACAGCTTAATCTTGCCTCATCTATTATCAGATAATAACAGAGAATTTGGCAATATCCACCGGAGAATATGCCTCAACTGATATCCATTGCATAACCTATCATTGCTTGTAACAATATAATGGATTTTTATTAGACAGTAAAAGCTGTATTTTCCCCCATATGCAGTCATTAATCATGGTAAGTGTTTTCTGGTTAGAATATATTGATAATGCATAACAAAATTTTTCCCGGACGTTCAATATATATGGTCCTTCTTCTGTAATTTTTTGGATTGTAAATTTTACTGAAACAAACGAAATGTTTCTGAAAGGAAAGAAGGGAGGGAGGGAAAAAAGGAGAAAAAAACAGACACAGAGAAAGAAGTCTATGAATATCTTTTGCTTCAAAGGAAAGCCACCATGGTGCTTCTGAGAT